AGGAACACAGAGTGCTTTCCTTTGCGATTCTGGTGTGAACTGACATTAAAGCTCTTTTTAGAGATGTTTTGAGTTGCAGAGAATCGTATGACAATGGAAATCACATTGTTTTCAATGGTGCTTGATCACATAAATGCAACTCAACATGATGTGATTACTGGATTACTTTTGTGCAAGTTCACCTCCATTTTGGCCTCAGAATATGAAAACTGCATCCAAGTTGCACTACATAATTGCACTGAGAAATGGATTAAAATCCAATGTGAACCATGTTAAAAGGGAAAAGTCTGCTGTAAATGACTAAACAGAAGTCATAAAATCTAAAGCATAAAAATTTGAAAAATATATTTGTAATCAATTATAATGTTTGAATCATCATCATGTTTGGGTATTTGTAAGTTTGTACGTTTGAGAAATAGCATACTTAGAGTAAAGTACAATGACCATATGCAAGGTGTAGTAATCTTTGGTAACCAATTAGTTTATCTATTCTTTTCCCTCAGTAAAGTACTAAAATCTGAATAATTATCATGCTTAACTGCCCTTTGTACTATGTGAATAAATTCACCCATATGTAAGCTTCTTTGGTTAGCTGATATATCATAAGGTAGAAATTTTTATTACATAGTTTAGATTTGTTATAAAATATTTCTAGGATTTGGCATGGCTATATTTACAGATCCTTCTACACATGAATAATCTTGGTTTTATCATTTATATATATATATATATCTATTTTATTGTTATAAATGTTACTAAATGTTTTTGTTATAAATGTTACTATTCCATATGGTTTACAAAAAAACATAAAATAATAATAATGTAATGGTGTTGCCATCAAATAAAAAAAGTCCAAAATATAAATGAAGGGGATTTTAAAAACGCCAACAGGCGTCTAACTCACATAACATTTATAAGTAAAACAACAACAGGCATCCACCTTTATGCCCCCTTCGATGATGTGGGGAGGTCACTTTGTAGTGGAGAGGTAAGGAAACCCCCTTTTTTTTTTCTTCTTTATTGACAACAAAAATAGTATAGGATGTTGTATAAAATACTGTATGTATTCTTTATGATGAAAACATAGTATAGGATGTTGTATAAATACTGTATGTATTCTTTCATGCTGCTTTTTCTCTTTTTTCTTAGCATAAGCTCATTATATATAAAAAAGTTGTTTTAATTATAAAGATTGTGAGTTGGATTCCTGATGGTACATTTAAAGTTCCATTCATATATATTTGGACTTTTTCTATTTTCTATTTTCGGGAAGATGCCCTAGTGCTTTTTATCAGCACTGATCACTGTATTGGTGTCCCTGGGGATGTCAGTGACCACCAAGTCAGTTCCCCTCAGTGTCAGAATGCCATGTACAGTCCCGCTATAAGTGACTGATCGCCACCATTACTAGTAAAAATAAAAAATCCCAGTGTATATATATCGCCATTTGTAAACCCTATAACATTTACGTAAACCAATTAATTTACACGTATTGGGATTTTTTTTAGCAAAGACATGTAGCAAAATACATTTTGGCCTAAATTTATGATATGATGAAATTTGATTTTTTAAACTTTTTTACTGGACATGTTTATTAGCAAAAAGTCAAAAATATAGTTTTTTTTTCTCAAAATTGTCGGTCTTTTTTTTTTATAGTGCATAAAATAAAAAACGCACAGGCAATCAAATACCATCGAAAGAAAGCTCAATTAGTGGGAAAAAAGGACGTAAATTTTATTTTGGTGCAGCATTGCATGACCGTGCAATTGTCAGTTAAAGTAATGCAGTGCCGCAATGCACAAAATGGCCTGGTCAGGAAGGAGTGTAAATCCTCTGGAGGGCAAGTGGTTAAACATTAAGGCCTCATGCACACTGGATTTTATCAAAACACCAGTAGTGTTAGCTGTAGAAAGCCACATTAAAACCACAAGTTTTGCCATGTTTTTAAATATGCATTTAGTCGCTTTTTTTAAGCAACCTTTGACAAAAAAACACAACTTTGCTAGTTTAAACTCCCACTTTCCCACACTGCATCCCTGAATAGTCATTGTGTAGTTGTTTAGTTACCATTTTTGAGTGCTGTTTCATCTGCATGGAGCACACATATGCAGTTGGCCATGCTAACTGCATACGTGATCTACACACAGATGAAAAAATGTTCATGTTTTGTCTACATGGAGCCAACCTCTGAGGAAGAGGTTGTGTCCTCGAAACGCGTTAGCCAGTTGGTCATCCAGGGTTCCATCGTATGGACTCAGATGTTGTTTGGATCCTACACCTTGTTCAGTTTGATATGCCTGTGTTTTTATGTCTATTGTGAGTATGATACTTACTTTGTTTCTTCAATAAATCTTTAAACAATAATGCACTAGGTCGGTGCGCACTTTTTCTGTTTCTCTATTTGCATCCAGTGTATTTGGACCACCCCGGTCTGTTGAGGGCAGCAAGCAGTGCATATTCCAGAAAATTCCAGAACATTCCTATTGGCTCTACTGAGTCTTTTCCTAGCGCAGGAGAAAAGTGTTTGTTGTGTTGAATAGTCTATTTGCCTTTAGTAAATCCACCCTAATCTGGGGGGAAAAGAGGAGAACGTTTACACATTAGTTACTGTAGTTTTGTTATGGTACCCCAAATTGAAATAAATCATATCAAACTTCACTTCTTAAAGACGCCGACAGGTAAAACGTACGTAGAAGCATGATCCCATCACTTCCGGGTCCTACATGATGTCACGTTCAGCTCGCTAACACGAGGCTTGGAACAAACACTGGCAAACCACAGAGAGACATGTTCTCACCACATTGGCTGTACCAGGGGTGGACTGACAACTCATGGGGCCCCCGGGCAATAGGGGATCATGGGGCCCCTGTGTACTTGCCCAAACTCAAAAAAGCCTATGAAAAAGGTACCAGGGACATCTCATGGGGCCCACTACTGACCCCGGGCCCTCGGGCAGTGCCCGAGTTTCCAAATGGTCAGTCCGCACCTGGGCTGTACAGACTGGTGCCGGGGTACAGGCACCATACAATGTGAGTGTGCTTTTATCTATTTTATGAACCATGGTTCCTAATATATACTACATTTAGAGCAGATTTTATTGATATTCTTTTCTTATTCTGAGTTCCTCTGAGAGCTACTACTAAGAGAAGGGGAGCCTGGAGACCCACCACATCAGAGCTCACAGTTGGGAACCTACATGTTATTTGATCATCTTAAGCATATTTGACCATCCAGTATGGGGTCAACACCTTCTGGTGAGTGGGAAATTCATTTATTACTCACAAGTGGTGGAGAAGAATCTATTGGATCAATGTCACACCCTCCTATAGGACTCTCATCCATTCCATTTTCTGGACTTTTATGATATCCTATATAAGATTCACTATTATATGTGATGTTGGGAGAGCACTTTATACATACTTATATTTCAGCTTTCATGTTTTATGACACATATGTATATGATGAAATCATACTGAGCAAGCGCATGTCTATTTATGGTTTTCAAATCATATCAAAGAACTATGCACTTAATCTAAAAGACTTGTTCTATATGCAAAACGTTTAATACAATTCATACATTTCTATTTGGAGAGTTTGGCATAACATTAAATATTTTATGACCATTTGCTGTGTGGCTGAATGAAGTCCTCCAATGCAGGTGATATTGTATTACTCACAGCATATTACATTTCTTTCATTCTGATGCCAGTAAATGTTGTTTATTATACACAGATTTTTTTTCTTATCACTTCTATGTAAATCATTTAATTTTATAGTTAATTAAATCATGCTAACAATATTAAAGAATAATAATAATAACAACAAAAAAATGTAAACTAGTGATACTATAAACAGTTATAAAGTGTACCGTTTTACCATAAATAACAAGCAATTAGTAAAAGGACAGGAAGTTTAACCACCTCCCGCCATATAGTAATATGACGGACGCAAGGTGGTTCTCTCATTCTGGGAGGACATCATATGACGTCCTCCCATTCTAACCGCGCATGCGTGGCTCCCGGAGTGTCCATCGGACACAGCGGATCACCAATCCACGGAAAGAGCCAAAGATGTCGGCTTGGTCATGTGATCAGCTGTATGGGATGGATAAAGCAGGCGCTCATAAATCAGCTGCTGGAACACTCCAAGGAATCACTAGACCTCATAACATGAATAATAAATAATATAGTGCAGCGCTGTAATACTGATGTACAAATCCAAATAGGTAAATAAAGCAGGGTAAATGAAAGTTCATAGAGTTCTTTATACAGTGTAAAACGGTTGCAAGCAAGGGTGCTGTGAAGACCTCCTCAGCATTAGATAAGTGACTGGAACCATATAGATAAAATGCGCACTCACGGACCGCGCATTAAAAATGCGCATGTATGTAATTATTTATCCAGGTAACCAGCCAGACATATGGATCAGCCAAACGTATAGGTCATCCCTCTCAGGTACAACATCAGCCTTGGGTGCAGTGATATGCTTCTAGGTCCAGAGAGCCTTCAGGGCTGAGGACAGCACTAGTAGGATTGTTCTCTTCTGTTCCCCTGTGGGCCCTCCTTGCAACAGCTCTATAGGTTCCAGATCCACAGCAGCCAATCCCTAGGGCACCTTGCAACCAGGAGAGGGAGCTCATCCTACCTTTACACACTGGGCAAGAAGGCTCTCTGGACCTAGAAGCATATCAGTGCACCCAAGACTGATGTTTTACCTGAGAGAGATGACCTATACGTTTGGCTGATCCATATGTTTGGCCAGTTACCTGGATAAATAATTACATACATGCGCATTTTTAATGCGCGGTCCGTGAGTGTGCATTTTATCTATATGGTTCCAGTCACTTATCTAATGCTGAGGAGGTCTTCACAGCACCCTTGCTTGCAATCGTTTTACACTGTATAAAGAACTCTATGAACTTTCATTTACCCTGCTTTATTTACCTATTTGGATTTGTACATCAGTATTACAGCGCTGCACTATATTATTTATTATTTATGTGATCAGCTGTGTCCAATCACAGCTGATCGCATGTAAACCGGGAAATGCCAGTTATCAGTATTTCTGTCCTCTCGAGCTGTCACTCTGACAGCTCGAGAGGAGAGGAGAGCCTGTAATCAGCATTCCGCGGAGGAGACATGTACACTGATCATCAGAGCACTGATGATCAGTGTGCCCTGATGATCAGTGTAGCCCCAGCAGTGCCACCAGTCAGTGTCCATCAGTGCCAGCTGCCAGTGCTCATTAGTGCCACATGCCAGTGCCCATCAGTGCCACATCAATGCCACATATCAGTGCCTACCAGTGCACATCAATGCCACATATCAGTGCCCATCTGAGCTGCCTTTCAGTGTCACCCATCAGTGCCAGTCAGTGCCACCTATCAGTGCTGCCAATCAGTGCCACCTATCAGTTCCAGTCAGTGCGCATCAGTGCCGCCTATCAGTGCCCGTCAGTGCTGCCTATCAGTGCCCGTCAGTGCTGCCTATCAGTGCCCGTCAGTGCCATCTAACAGTGCCAGTCAGTGCCACCTAACAGTTCCAGTCAGTGTCGCCTCTCAGTGCCACATATCAGTGCCATATATCAGTGCCCATCAGTGATGCCTGTCAATGCCCATCAGTGCCACCTACCAGTGCCTCCTCATCAGTGCCCATCAGTGCCACCTATCAGTGTCCATAAGTGCAGCCTATCAGTGCCCATCACTGCAGCCTCATTAGCGTACATCAGTGAAGGAGAAAAATCACTTATTTGCAAAATTTTATAACAAAAACTAAGAAAAAAACATTTTTTTTTCAAAATTCTGTGGTTTTTGGTTTAAGAAAAAATAAAAAACCCAGAGTTGATTAAATACCACCAAAATAAAGTTCTATCTGTCACAAAAAACTGATACACATTTCATATGGGTACAGTGTTGCATGACCGCGCAATTGTCATTCAAAGTGCAACAGCGCTGAAAGCTGGAAATCGGCATGGGCAGGAAGGGGGTATAAGTGCCCTGTAGGCTTGTGGTTAAATAGTGAATATTTTAAATAAATGTAATCACACACACAATAATTAAAAACAACATATCGAAACATTAAATAATAATAAATATTTAGCTTAAGAAATAGGTAAATTCTAGTGAATAATGTTATATATTTTTTCATTACTATTATCTGAGATATACCTACAATATATTATTGTCAACCTAGAAAGTAATATAGGAAAAATTAAGCTTTGAATTTACTGAAAGCAATAAAATATTAAAAGCATATTATATACTGTACATGTAAAATATAAATAGTGCATTAAAAACATCATTGGCTACTAACAAAAAAAGAAGGCTATTCTCCAGTCAGATTGTCTTTATGCATTCAGACACTATACTTGTCAAATATTTAATGTATAGCCTAAATAAGAATAAAATATATTGCCTATAATTTAAAAAAGTAAAATATAGACTGTAATGTATCATTAGAAGCACCGTCTATATTATGAAGTAGTAAAAATTGTAAATGTATAGCAAATGCTGTCATACCTATAATATACAATAGTAAAAAATACAACCTATAATAGAAAAATACCATAATGAAGAACAGGATCTAATGTAAAACATTAACATACAACATCAAATTTAAACTAATAAAAATATATTCCATTATCAAGTTAAATTTCTAATGTAAAATAATGAAAGTTTAGCTTTCAAACAAACTGTTGGCACTTTATAAGTCCTGTCTAATAATAATAATAGTAATAATAATAATAATAACAACAATGATAATATAAAAGTAGATATACACTGTAGATAATTTAAAAGTAAAGTGATACAAGTAAAGTGAACTCTATAGTAGAAAACCTAGCATATACTCTCCTATAAAATAGTAAAGCAAAACTATGCTGCTGACCAGGGGCGGACTGACAACTCATGGGGCCCACGGGCAATAGGGGATCATGGAGCCCCTGTGTCCTTGCCCAAACTCAAAAAAGCCTATGAAAAAGGTACCAGAGGCATCTCATGGGGCCCCCCTACTGACCCCAGGCCCTCGGGCAGTGCCCGAGTTTCCAAATGGTCAGTCCGCCCTTGCTGCTGACAATGGAAATTATGTTACACAGAAATTTATCGTCTATAACTGCAATTCTAAAATCTGGCAGAGCTATGCCAATTCACCCATTACCTACCACGTTGAGGTTCTCCAGGCACGGTTTAGGTACTTTTTCCTAAATGTGGCTGCTGAAACAGTAAAAAATGTAGTCAATTGCATTTATCTAATTCATTTACTTTTATTATGTCGTAAAAGAATAACTTGTTGGCTGGAATAGATTATCCTGTGTCTGGAAAGCAGTACATGGAAAAGTCATATGCGGTACTTGAGTAATGTAACTGAAGTTCACCTGACTTAATCTGAATTGAGATAAGGTAAATGACTTTAAATAAGTTCATTTTTTACGATTCACTGCCTGGGTTCTTGAGTTTATTATTGCTGTACCATTGTAATGTACATTGTTTTCAAACCATCAGTAAACATTTAACATAACTATCTATTTTTTTGAACCTCGGTACCTCTTGTTTTTCATTTTTATCCTTAGCTCAGATAAGTTGCTTATTGTTTGTTAGTATCAAGACAAGGAGTTACATGAAACACGTTGCATGACAATAAGCTGTCAAGAGGTGCACCCTATGACATCAACCTCACAAATATAATTGGATGAAAAAAAACGCAAGTCAAATGCTAAAGTCCACCTTGAGACAATAATGATGAAATACAGACGTCCATGTGTAGAGCATAGCAGAACCCATAAACTGGTGTTGCATCTATAGTGGGACATGTTGGAGCTGATATTTTAACAGGAGATAGTTGGAGATTGTTAACCCACTCCAGATTATGGGCCAAAGCAAATTTCACATTCTGCTAGAGTCCTGTTTATTGGACAATAATTGTACCTAAAGTGACATTAAACTCTGGTTTAAAAAAAACAAAAAATCTATTCAATTATGTATTCTTAACTCAAAAAAGTACCTTGTACTGCTCTCCGCCTCCTCCGAATCTACAAATTACCCCCCTGCCTTTTGCCGTGATCAGACTTTCTGTTAGAGGGTGACTCTCCATGGTCCCACTGTATGCAGGAACATAGTCACCCTCTCACTCCTGAGATTCACTATGGCATTTGTAGCGTACATAGAACAGTGCACATGTCTGCAATTAATGTGCACTGCTTGTTCCAAATAAAAAAAGTGAGGGGGAAAAGGAATGATTCAGGAGACCACAGAGGACATTACAAGGAGGCAGAAAAACACAATAAGGAACAATTTCATGAAATATAGATTACAGGACCATTAGGTAATAGATATATATGGATTATTTCTGGAGGATAAGGATATTCTTTTGTGTTACTTAAAGGGGAACTTTAGTCAGAAAATTAAGTTCTTCTAGATCACTTCAGGCTGGCCCCTTTTGCAGGTATAGCTACTGTATGTAAAACATTAAATATAACTGCCTATACTGTTTCAAATTCAGTAATACACTGTTTCATCTTGCTCTTCACATGCTCATTGCTCCATATTTTTCAGCACTGTGTTGAAAATGTAGAGGCCAATCGACTGACAGCCTAAAGATGTCATGATCAGGGGTCAGGCTCAAAAACCAGTTGCTATAGCAGTGGAAAGGCTTACCTGAAACCAGTAGGATAGGTACACAGGCCACCATGGCGGAGGTGTGGGATCACCCGAGGTGCGGAGTCTAAGTACCAACCGGTTTTCACCAGAGCTCCTGATGGTGAAGATGGATTTTGTGGCATGTTAGTACCAGGTCGCGGTCCTCAGGATCACCCCACCAGGAGATGAGCAAGCGAAGGTCCAGTAGCGTATAAGTAGGTAAGGATCAAATGGAAGCGTGGTCAGTAAACATGCCAAAGTCGGTAAGGAGCAGTCGCAGGTTGGGATCAGGCAGAAGCGTAGTCGAGACAAGCCAAAGGTCAATAACGAGTGATAGCAAAATATGGATAATAACAGAGATGATAAGGAGCATGATACTGGCTGGCAAACAGGAAGTGAAGAGACATGGCTTATATCAGGAAGTTCATGGGAGGAGCAAGGGGGGTCAAGGTTCATGATAAACAAGGTCAAGGTAGGATCATCCCAAATAATTGTCAAGGTAACTGTGCAGCATTCCAGGTGGCTCAGCCAAAAGAAACATTGCCACTCAGAAGGCCCAGGTTTGGACCCAGGCTCTGACAAAAGATTTACTGCTGCTCTGGGCTTCAGCAAAATGGCAGCCTTCAGCAACAAGAATCAGGAACAATGCTGGAGGCAATTTACAGCACACACTAATTTTGGTAGCATAATTATTAATGTGGAATGTACTGTATGTTCCTAGTTAAAAACAATTTGTTTATCATATTGCTATGGGTAAAGTTCCACTTTAAAGCGGTAGCAAAGTTGTTTAAAAAAAAAAAAAAAAAGTTTCCTACTGCAAGGGAATATTAGAATGTGCAAGTAGGCATGGCATACTAGCACATAATGAAAGATTTACCTTAGAACAATTCCCTCCAGCGGCATACTGTCATCGCTGACAGGGCTTCCATCTTCACCCAGTCTTGCTTCCAGGTTCATGGGCTGTTGGTGCTTAAATGGCTGAGCTTACATCACTTCCTCGAGTCTTAGCCACGGCACACACCTCTGAAGGAATGGCATGGGTATTCCATTCCTTCAGAATGCATACGCCGGCGATGTCACCAGCAGGGGCGGACTGACAACACATGGGGCGCCCGGGCAATAGGGGATCATAGGGCCCCTGTGTCCTCAAAAAGCCTATGAAAAAGGTACCAGGGGCATCTCATGGGGCCCCCTACTGACCCCGGTCCCTCAGGCAGTGCCCGAATTTCCAAATGGTCAGTCCGCCCCTGGTCATCAACTGCTGCTCTATAGAATATTTTCTAAATGGTGAACGTACAGGAGCCATTCATTTTACCTACCAGTAAGCTTCATTGTAGGCAAAAATAGAAAGGACAGTTGACTACCACTTTAACCACTCTTCGGGCATTTTGCTTCAATGGCTATTCCTTGCCTTTATTTCGTAGACTATCCTATTATATAATTTGTTATTTTCTAGGTTTTTATTAGGAAGTAAAAAAATTTGAACAAAAAGAATAAAATCCTGTAATTCTTCCCAAAATCAATTATGTACTTCAAGCTGATTTGTACCTAATAACCTCCAAAGACTGCTAATTAAAGGTTAAGTGTGACTTTTATGTTAGCATAACAAAATAGGTAAGCTCAACGTGGACATTTGCATTTTACTTTAGGACAGTTTTATTTTCCGTTCAATGCTGTTCTGTGATGTATATATAAAAAATAGTCAGTTTGTGTAAATTGTTGGCATAACATTCAGATAAGATCAAGATGTGTTGGCAAGGACACAAAATTAACACAATAGCACCTTTATGTGAGCATTTGACACTTA